TCTCTTTTAGACAAGGTGCAAAAACACATTGTAAACATAGTTGGACCTACTCTTGCAGCCAACCATCAACCTCTGTCACATCGTCGTAATGTTGCTTCTCTTTCTCTTTTCTACAAATGCTATAATGGGCGCTGCTCGAAAGAGCTAGTGTCTCTTGTGCCATCTACAAAAATTAATTCTCGTGTTACTTGTCATTCAATTAAATCTCATCCTTTTTCTGTTACTGTTTCTAAGTGCTCCAAAAACTCTTATTGGTCTAGTTTTTTTCCACGAACATCAGTTCTTTGGAATTGGCTTCCTTCATCTTGCTTTCCTGATTCATATAATTTGAAATCTTTCAAGTCGTCTGTCAATCGTTATCTTGCTCTACAATCTTCTTCTTTTCTCTTCCAATAACTTCCAACACTAATTAGTGGTTGCTTGCAGCCTTGTTGGAAGCGAAGATTTTGAAAAAAAGAATATATATATACATATATATGACTTTTTAAAAATTCAATACATAAGAAAAGGTTTTTTAACTATAAATCTTATATCATAATATTGATAGGGTTAATATCATAGAGATATTATTAATATATGAAGCTAATTTTTAGAATTACCTATCTTTAATAAATATCTATAGCTATTTATAACAGCATCCTTAATCTAAATTAAAGAGGACTTTTTTATGAATGCACTTCATTAAAAACATATAACACTTTAGTTCTATTAAAACCAATACAAATATATTAAAATCTCTAACTTGAAATTATATGCATGTATTATTTCTCTTCTTGTGAAAAAGAAAATTAGCGCTCTGTCGATAAGTTCTAAAGTATACAAAAATATACGGTTAAAGTCCGTAACTTAAAGTTACAGAACTTCTCCTTATCATAAATACTGACAAAATCATATAAATTGATGTGATTATTTTAAAAGTCATAAAATTATAGGTGAAAGACTAATTTATTGACTATTTTTTTGACTCATTTATTGACTAATTTTTTCTGTGACATAACAACAGAATAAGTCTGATAAATACTATGGAGTTTTTTTACAGTGATGCTCAATAAACATTCATTCATTATTCATCGTTTTCCCTGTTCGTTTTATAAAAAACCTCGATTTAGATGGGCAAAAAAAGTGAGCTCACTTTTTTTGCTCATCTAAATCACTTTTTTACCATAATGTAATAAATAATAAATGTACATTTATTATTTATTATATTATGGTGTTGTTTAAGCAATGCAATTTTATTTTTTTATTTTTTAGTTGTAGCATTTGTAGTAATGGCAAAAATTGTAGCAATTTTAGTATGGTAGCAATCGTAGTAATGGTAGCAATTGTTGTCATGCTTAAACTATAATTTTTTTTTAATTATGCAAACTATAAAGAGATTTTAAAAGTTTGTCTGATTTTATAAATAATATTGAACTCCCAATTTTTTACTCTATGTGATTGTAACAGTAAAATATGCAGTTTTTAGCCATTCACTTCATACATATTGTTTGCATTTGAATTTTTATCCAAAAATATATAGTTATATTTTTAAAAATAAAAATATATAGTTATATTTTAAAAAAAATATATATATAAAAAATGGTTTTTTGCAAGTAGACTGTGTTCTGAGTGTGGAAACAACTAAATAGTGATTGATTTTGAATTATCATGTGACAAAATGCTACCATCAGTTGCACTAGTTTAAAATTTTAGCAAAATTTGTCTTAGCTAAGTAAAATGACTTCAAATGAACTTTAATGTAATTTTACTGTGTCATATTATATGATGCAGTAGTTTATTATTGTTTATTATGTGACATGCTGAAGCTTACATTGAATTTAACTCATATAAAATTGGATATTATTGAAACTTTTGAATTTTGAAATTTGTAAATTTTTCTTATATGTGGCACTGTTTTTAGCAATGTGCCACCAATCGGGCATCATAGAGTATGAAGTATGGGGCATTATGGGGTATTCCCATTTTACCCCAAGTGTTTTTAAATAAATTTTAAATTTTAATTATGTATGACATTTTTATGAAAATAAAATAATTTTTCATCCTGAACACATTTCTGTCCCATATAACATATACCTTCCATATTTATTTCAATTCATATTTATACGAATGTGTGTGTGTGTTTGTAAAATTTATACTAGAAAACTTTTTACTTTAGTATTCTTTGTACTTTTTTGTAAAAAGTTTATTATATAAATAAAAATTGTTTTTCAAGATAAATAATAATAATATAAGAAAATATAAATGCACATCAAATCGACAGACATGGAGTGAAAGTGTCATGCAACAAGCAATTCTCTTCGTGATAAACGTTGATCAAGGATATAAAAAAGTTGTCAAGGTTTATAGTGTACCACAAACTACCTTTAAAAGGAGAGTAAAAAAGTTTTGAAAAAATCCTGATATTAAAAAAGCATGTGAAAAGAGTTAGTTCAAATGATTATTTATTTATTTACAGTATAGATACAATGTATTTAAAACATAATCAATATTATTACCCTTTAAAAAGTTATATTTATAATAAATTTATAACCTATTTTACACATTTAATCTTTTAGTGTTGGGCTATGATACTTAATGTTTTCTAATTAATTTTGAGGTGGTTAAATTAATACTTTTGTATTTCAGCTCTAGGTGCTTTCAAAACAGTATTCATCCAAGAGAAGGAAAATGAATTTGTTATACACATTCATCTGATGGGAAAAATGCTTTTTGAACTTAGCTCATTTGAGGTCAGAAAGTTAGCGTATGAGCTGGCAGTTAAAAACAATAAGAAACACAGTTTTAATAATGACCTTGGCATTGCCGGTTATGACTGGTATAAAGGTTTCATGGAGAGACATTCCAAACACTTGTCATTCTTTTTTTTTCTTCACTGGAAGAGGTTGCGGATACCAACAAGCTACATGTTGAAAATATCTGGAATTGTGATGAAACAGGTATTTCTACAGTTCCAAAGTGTCTCTCTATAATTTTTTCAACCCAAGGGAAAAAACAAGTTGGTTCTCTCACTTCAGCTGAAAGGGGTCAGCTTGTCACAGCCGTTATTTGCTCATCAGCAAGTGGGAGGTACATGCCACCCATGATGATCTTTCCTTGTAAACCAATGAAGCCAGAATTAATGGATGGAGCACCACCAGGTGCACAGGCTGAATGTCACTCAAGTGGGTGGATACAAAAAAGAATTGTTTACTGTTTGGTTAAGAAAATTTATTCAATATTCAGGGGCCAAAATAACCTCGCCAGTAATACTTATATTAGATGGACATAAATGTCACACTAAAAGTATTGAGTTGATTAACATTGCGAGAGAGAATGGTGTAATTATTCTGTATTTGCTTCCTCATTGCACATATCGAATGCAGCCCTTGGATTTGGCGTTTATGAAGCCACTTAGCATTTACTATGACCACAATATCAGGAAATGGTTGAGAACAAATACTGGACGCGTGGTCACTCAATTTCAAATAGCTGCACTTTTTGGCTTAGCCTACCTGGAAGCTGCAACAATGACAAATGCTATAATTGGCTTTCAAAAAGCTGGCATATGGCCAGTTAATAGAAATGTTTTTTCCAAAGCAAACTTTCTGGCAGCAGAAACTACTGATATTAGTTTCATTAAAACAAACCCTGTGGCTGATACATGTGACATTGCTGTTACTAGCAACCTCTGTGCTTCTGTCAGCCATCCATCTGTAAGTACCTGTCATCAAATTTTACCTGCAATCCAAATATCTGCTTTTAGCAGCGATATGAATGTTTTTAACGTTCACACAATTGCTTCTACAAACCAATCATCTGATTTTACCAGCATAATATCCACGTCTTCCAGCATTTTAATCACTTCTATGAGCAATGTTAATACCACATCATTTTAAAAATGTATCTCCAAATCTTATTATTCCTATACCAAAGCAGTCACTGCAAAGGAGACTATCAAGGCAGAGAGGAAAAACTGCTATCCTGACCTTTTTTCCATATAGAGCCTCACTCTTAGACACCCTGAGTAAAAACGAGCCAAATCCTTCAAAAAAAGGAAAAAGGCTCAAAATGACTAACAAAAATGGATATGCAAAAAAAAAACCTGAAGTAGATGGACAAAATATTGCATCTAAAAAGAAAACAGTCAAAAATTCAGAGGAAGACAGTTCTCTATTCAGAGGAAGACTGTCTCTACTGTCAGGAAAAATTATTCTACTAGTGTTGAAAGTTGGGTTTCTTGTAGTGATTACCACAGCTGGGCACATTACTCTTGTGCTGATTTAGAAGAAAAAGATAAACAGCCAAACTTTATTTGTGAAATATGTCTAAACATTGTATACATTCTAAAACATATGTTATTGTTACATTGTATACCCCATTTTGCCCCTAGCATGGGGCAAAATGGTTTTTTTTCATAGATTTTTAAATGTTGAATAACTTTTTTTTGTTATTGGCATTTTCTTTTATCATATCGTAGTTTATGTTGTCTCTTGTCATTTAAACATTTTCATCTTGTCATTTTAACAAAAATTGTTTTGATTTTAATTATTTTTGACAGTTTTTTTGATGACTTTCCCTTAAGTACCCCATTATACCCCAGTTTCCCCTATTATCATATAATGTTTTTAAACAAAATATTCTAAGAATTTTTTAAAATGTCACACAATAAATAAACTTTTTTGCTCAATTGAAAAGTTGAAGACTTTTAAGTCTTCTTGGTTTATAATACATACAACTTCTAATGATTTATAATACAGAAAAATAATTCTTAATAAACTCAAAATTGATGAAGCATCATTATAAAGACTTTAAATCTTAGAAAATTTATCATAAGTTTCCTATTTCAATATACTTATAAAAATGTTTAAGAAATTAATAAATAATAAATCAGCTTTAATAAAATGATACCCATAATAAAATTATTTCAAATTTAAAATCAGCTATAGAAACACATTTATACAGTTATATTTTTGTTTTTTTAATAACTATAAATTATTATTTGATAAGTTATTTTATTTCAGCCAGGTATACGAACAAATACAACTATATGTCTCGGAAAAATTGCACAGTATATTTCAGAATCAGTAAGTGTTATGTTATCAGTATATTTCAGAATCATTAAGTGTTATGTTATCAGTATATTTCAGAATCAGTAAGTGTTATGGTGCATTATTTTAAATATTTTTTTACAGTATTTTAAACAATTTGTTTTATGATATTACTGTTCAATTTTTTTTTTTTTTTTAATGTTTTATGTTTTGAAAATGTTTTGAAAATGTAGTAGTTCAATGTTTTAAATGTTTTATGTTTTGGTTTAGTATAATTTGTTTTTTAATATTTGAAAAACTATTAATATTGATAAATATTTTCAATTTTTAAAAATTTGTTTAGACTCGGAAAAAAGTTTTAATTCCGGCATTTTCAAGAGCACTGAGAGATCCTTTTCCTCCTGCTCGTTCAGCTGGTGTCTTGGCTTTATCTGCTACTCAAGAGTACTATTCAATAGAAGATATAGCTCAAAAGATACTACCCTCAATATGTGCATTAACAATTGATCAAGAAAAAAATGTTCGAGAAAATGTAATGCCTTTTTTTTTTTTTTGATTTTTTTTTTTTTGATACAAAATTTTTTAACCACAATTTTTTAGATAGTATTTTATTATTATTAGATTTAAAAATGAATTACTTAAATTAACTAAATTATCACTTTTAGTGTAATAATTTTATAATTGTTAAACTAAAATAGGATAATTTGAGTTTAGTAATGTAATTTATTTTTAAATATAAATTTTCAATTACAATTTTAAATAATTTTATTTTATTGTTAATAATAAATTATTAGTTAAAACTTTAAAGTTTTTTAATGCAGTATTATTTTATTTAGTGGAAAATGCTTCAAGCTTGAAAATTATTTTGTTTAGGCTTTTAAACTCATAAGATGTTTTCTTGAGAAGCTAGAAGCTTTTTCTAAAGATTCCAACAGTACAGTAAATAACCAAGGTATTTTTTTTGTGTCTAACTTTAATTGGTTTAAGTAAAATTTAATTTATCAAATAAAAATGTTTTATTTGGTATTTAGCTATATGCTCAGTGCTCGAAAAAGTGGCCAATCACTGATCAATGATCGTCTGCTTTTGGAAAAAATAATATTTTGATCTCTCAAAATAAATTCTGGACGATCAAATTTGATCGTCAAGAATTGCATATCAAACTTTATATTAAAAATTCAAAAACATTTAAACAAACGTCACAAAAATCTTCAAAAGACAAAAGTAAAATATTGATACCAAAATGTTAAAAGTAAAACAACTGTTGAAAAGGAATTTTAACATTTATATAAACAAAAAGTTTATTACACATTAATGAACTATTTTGAAGGAAATGTATTTTTTTTAATGAATCTAATTTGCATTATTATTTAGAAACATTAAAGTTTCATGTGAAAAATTTTGAAAAATAGTAAATAACGCAAGTTTATGATTGGTAGAAAGAATGTTGACTTCATAAAACATCATAATGCTTTAAGCAAAATAAAATTGTTTTTTTTTTAATTATTAGAAAATAAGTTTTAGAAGTAAAATTATATAAAAAATATTAAAATAAACATAAAACAGATGTGAGAAAAAGCAACAGAAAAATATTTCTTTGAAAAAGAAATCAGGATCTGAAACAATTGCTAAGAATTAAGTAAAACTTTACGAAAGAAAGTTACAATTACAAACAGTATTTTGTTTCTTTTTTAAATTTTCTTTTTTAAATATTCTTTTTTAAATATTCTTGTGTTATAGGTTTAATCAATAAATGTTTTTTTAAAAGTTCCCAATATTTCTTGTATCATTTTTTTTTTTAAATCATTTCTTTTTGGTAACCGAAACCAAAAAAGTTCATTAATATTAGAAAAGCCTTTTTTAATGCGTAGAACGAAAAAGAAAAAATCATTTTTGCAATTAAGCTTTGAATGAATGATATACTTTGATCTAATTTGCGTGTTATTATCAATTTTTAATAAACTTTGAGTTTGAAAAACATTGAATGAATGAATTTGCGTTTTTTTGTCAATTTTAAATGTTTTTACTAAACAATCATTTATAATGTTGCAAACAGTCACTTAGTTTAAACTATAGTTTTAACTAAATGAATGTAAAAAATATATTTTATATTATAAATATAATAAAAATATTTATATTATAAATGTAGCAAAAATATTTTGTAATATAAATATAAAAAAGATCATAAATGGACGAGATATTCAATACAAAAATCTTAAAGTTATTGACAATCTATAATGTGATAAAAATATCTTAAGGTGATTAGAAAATAAATTTTTTTTAACGTTTTGAAAGATTGATTTTGCATAATCAAATGACGAATCAAAAGTTAACTTGATCAACTTAATTAATTTCTTATTTGTTAATTTTTTGGTAAGATAGGATATGCAGAACAACTTATCATAAATTTTATGATAAGACAGACAACTGTCTGGCATATAAAATATAAAAAATAAGTATAAAAAATAGGTATAAAAAAAAAATTTTTTTTAAGGGCTTTTTAAAGTGTATTTACAACGTTATTTAAGAGGCTTGTTTGTATTTATAACGTGACACTTTAAAACAAGGCCCAGTATAAGTTTTATTTTTTATATTTTTATTGTTTCGGACTTTTAAACAAAGTGGGAATTCTGCAGAATAAGCAGCGCTATCAAGCACAAACGTAAAAAGTGTGAAACAAAAATTACTATACATAAAACTTTAATACAAACTTGCAAAAATATTTGATCGTCCGGAAAATTATTTGATCGTCTACTTTTCAATATTTATCTTTTCTGCCGATCAGTGTTGATCGGCAACCTCTAAATTATTATTTGAAGCGCTGTATGCAACTTTTTTTTTTAGAAAAAGAGAAAGAGCAATTAAGTCAATCGTCAACATGGACTGGTTGGGCTGTAACATCATTAACATCTCGCTTTTATCAACAACAGCAACAGCCACAGTCACCAGATTCTTCTACTAATTCTGATTCCAAACCAAGTGGTATTCTATATCTTTAAACATATTAAATTTAAAACTATATTTTATATCTAAATATGAATTCTTTTTAATAAAGCAGAGCTTAATCTGAAAGAACATAAAACAGATGTTGCTAAGCAAGAACCTAATGTTAGTGTAAATAACCAATCTGTTTACACAGAGGCAAAAAATTATGATGGAGGATCTAATTTAAAGGTTTATTTTAGCTTGCTCTAGTTTTATTTATGGTTTTTTTTTCTTATGTAGTTTTGTAATTAAGTCTGATGTTAAATATAAGAATATACAGTTTTCACAGGAAAGATGTGCAATTGCATGTCTTGTCTGACAATCCATATAATATTTTTTCACTAAGTAGACATTGGAAAATATCAAAGTATTTAAGTTAAATAACTTTGAAACTTTGATCTTTTTTCAAATCATTTTATTTGAAACGCTTTAAAGTTAAAAAAAGAACATGTGTGTTATTTTTTATAGTTTTATTTTTTAAGTTAAGAAGCCATGATGATGGTTAGAGTTCTGGCTCAAAGGTTTGATGTTTAATGCCAGCTCTGGCTAGATAAGTGACATTGGTAAGGAATGAGGTGTGAACATGGTTAAATGCTCTGTGATAAGAGCATAAGGTCTTTATGGAGCACCTTAATAACTATCACAAAATAAGTTTTAATTATTTTCTCATTCGCTAAAGTTCTTTTCTTTTTTACATTTTATGGTCTTTTTATTTTAAATTTTATATAATTAATATATAAAATTATAATAAAATATAAAATAATTACTTCAATATTTTAAAATAAGTATTATTCAAAAAACTTCAAATATTTTGATGGACAGACCATGTATTTGCCCCTGCATTTTTCTTAATTGAAAAAAAAAACGCAAACCTTAAATATAAAGGTATTTAAGGCCATCTACTGAGTCTTCAAGGTCATTTTAAAAATTATGGTCTGTTGAGTTTACTATGACAATCATATAATAATAATATAATAATAAATTAAAAAAAAAAAAATAAGTGGTACAAATAAGTTGTATTTTATATTTTTATTAAATAGAAGAATTGATTTCTTTGAGACAAATACAAATGAATTAATGTATTTGTCTCAAAAAATTGGTTTTTGAGACAAATACATTAGTATAAACTTTCAATGTATATTAATCTTCATGGATAATTAAAAGATAAAGTTGTAATGCTGGTAATTATCTTTAAAAGACCATAAATTTTAAATGACTTAATGTAATAGATTTTTTACCTTCTTGGCTTGTATACTCTTTTTTGACCTTAGATATTTAAAGCTTTATTTAGGCTGTGTAAATAAACAAAAAATGTTAAAACTATTTTTTAAGCAATAACTTAATATTTATTTTTATCCATTTTATTTAACCATGAAATTGAAAAAATTATTATGAACAAATTATGCAAAAAAAAAACAAAAAAAAAAACAACAAAAAATAATAATACAGATAGTGACCAAAAAAATATAAAGAAGAACAATAATATTTAAAAAATCAAGAATAACACAAAAAATTGAATGAGTTGACATGAGAGATAATAAATGAAGAGGTAATGCAATGACATGACATGAAATGAAGAATGCAATGATCAGAAGGATGATAGAAAATAATAGAAGAAAATATTTAAAATATATGATGAGAAAAGTATGAAATTACTTAAATAATAGCAACAAATATAAAAAGCAATAATAATAAAATATTTTCATTGTTTTCACTTTATTAGTTATTTTTAAAAATTCTATTCTAAACAATTTTTGTTTATTTTTCTTTTCCTCTTTTATCTATTTTTCACCTTTTCGCCGTTAAAAAAAATACTTCCTCTATTTGTGATGTCATTCCAAAGTGACATACCTTGACTGCATACATTGCATACATACCTGACTGTATAAATTTGGTACATTGCAAAGTGATATACCTATCAAATACCTGACTAGATTCTGAATTTTCAGATATCCATATTACTGTTTTTACTGGAATCTAGATGTTTTAGTTTGTCTAAGCTAGTGTTACTTGATTTCCTGACCTTCTGGGTTTTAACACACATGAGTATCAGTTCTACAAACTTATTGGAGTTTCATTGTTGGTCTCTTGCTTGATGTTCTTGATTTTTTTTGTGTGTATTTATAAATTATTGTTTATTGCATTATTACTAGCCATAATCACTATAAACTAAATAAATGTGAAAACTATTAGTTCTGAACCATATCATAATAATGTAAGGAAAAATGTATTTTCTTAACATACATTAACCTGAGAATCTAACAGTTTTCTCATTCAATGTTGTATTTCCAGTGGAAAGAGTACCTCATATAATAATTTTAACAATTAGTTCTTTCTTTAGAGAAAATATACAATATACAAGAAATTTTTGGAGTTTACCATATTAGTTGTGGTTTTCTTAATAAAAAGTTTTTTGTTACTTAGGAACAAAGTTTAATATATCTGAGAACTTAGGTTTAGAAAAGTTTAATACCTTTGTATACATGTGAGCAGTGACATCTATATGTGATTAACTTTACACATATAGGAGAGATAACATCTATATGTGAGAGGTTTATATGGTTTGTATTTGCTTGAACATCTCTGAGAGTCTTCAAAATCATTTTAAACACTTGTACATCTGGGAGGGCGAGTCTTAAGTATATAATTGTAAAAAGCAGTGAGTTAAACAATTATCAGCATAGTACTTGTACTTCCCATGAAAGAATATGTTTCAAACAATTTTTAGATGTAAGCAATAATTCAAGAAATGATTGTAGACATTTTATTTATTTATTGGGAGAGAAGAAAAAAATTTGGTACATAAACTATATTGGTGTTTATAAAAGAATATTTCATTTTTAAGAAGGATGTAGTCAACAATATATAAGAAACAGAATATGTTGTATATAAAATTATATACAATAAAGTAGTGAACATGTCTTGTTGAAACATTTTTGTTATGTTATGAAAGTTGAAACTTATTTCACTTTATAAAAAATAAGCATATTGCTGCTGTCATAACAACATAACAAATAATAAAATATTGTGTAATCCCAAAACCAACTCAGATTAAAAAAACTTCTGTATGGGTTTATAATTTATCCAGAATAACCTCACTCTCTTAACTTAAATGAACTGATGTATTATAACTTACCCAAAGAAAGAACTGATGTCTAATGACTTACATAAAGAAAGAACTGATGTATTATAATTTATCTAAAGAAAGAATCATTTTTTACCTAAAGATTGAACTGATGTGTTATGACTTACATAAAGAAAGAGCTGATGTATTATAATTTATCTAAAGAAAGACATTTTTTTAACTTTTTTTAAAAAAAATGAAAATGATTGTGATTTGTTTGAAGCAAACATTTGCTATATGATATTTTCTCTGAAAAAATTTTTGCATAATTTTTTTTTTGTTTGTTAATATTAGTTCAAAAATATAAGTTTCCCATAAAAATATATAATTTATAAATAATATCTACAAATTTATGTCATGATATAGTTGTGGCTATTTTATTTTGAAAGTAAAAAATAACATTTTTATTCAATTTTTTTTTTTTTTTTTTTTTTTTTTTTTGTAGGATTTACTCCTTTTGCACAGTAGGCCAGAAATGAGTATTTTGATACTACAAATGTAGTGGTACTATGTTAAAATGTTGTGGTACTATGTTGAAATGTAGTGGCACTATGTTGTAATGTAGTGGCACTATGTTGAAATGTAGTGGTACAATGTTGAAATGTTGTGGTACTATGTTGAAATGTAGTGGCACTATGTTGAAATGTAGTGGCACTATGTTGAAATGTAGTGGCACTATGTTGAAATGTAGTGGTACTATGTTGAAATGTAGTGGTACTATGTTGAAATGTACTATGGATTTTTTATTTGGTTGATAATGACATCTAAAAACTTTAGTAACTTTTCCCCAAGCCTCAATATTATAACTAGAATAATATTAATGTGGCAGTCTGATTAAAAATTATTTATGCATTTAAAAATTCAACACATTCCCAATTATCCATATAATTCAACACATTCCCAATTATCCATATAATGACCCATAATCCATATAAAAAGAAACCCTGAGTTTTAATGTATAAAAAATATTAGGATCAGCTAACTTCAGGTTTTCTTGTATTATATATGTATAAATATCAATACTTTTCATGTTTTAACTAGATGAAAATATAAATTTTATTTACACAATTTTTCAAGTAGGTATTTTATAATGTATAATTAATAAAACAAATTTGTAACACTAATCTAGTCTTACTGAGACCCAATTGTTACATTTAGAACCATTTAGAATTAAAAAGTTATTTGGCTATATAAGTGAAATTTTAACTAAAAAAAGTACTTCAAATACCCCGTCATTTGAAACCATTTTATTCAACATAACTTATATTTTATTTGACATAACTTATACTTTATTTGACATAATTTAAATGCAAAATAGTGTTGTAATAGCTCATTTGAAAGATAATGATTTTGTTAATTTATGCAATAAAAAAAATAGGTTTTAATGTTAACATCTATTCCATGCTTATTAGTAACATAAAAAATACTATCAAATTAAAAAAAGAAAAATTTAGAAAAAATCTTTTTAAAAAAAAAAAGCTTTTTTTTTCTACAGCTTAGAAGCATACAACATGATAATTATGCAAAAAAATATTTTAGAAAAGTTGAATGTTTAAGCTATAAAAAGATTATATAATAATGTAATTTTTGATAATTTTTTTTTTTACTTTTGTCCACCACCTGGCCCACTGTGTTTTGTTTGTAATTGTTTTCTTCTTGTTTTATAAATTACTAAAACAAAAATTTGGTAAAAATCTGAGGTGATTTGAAGCATTTTCAAAGGTTGCACAAGGTTCCCAAACATCCTAAATATTATTAAAAAATAAGTTATCAAAAAATATATCATGTTGGGTTTAAAAGAAGCAAAAATATATAAAAATTTCAAATAATCATCAATTTTAAAAAAAGTTTTGTTTTAAATTTCAAATTTTGCCTAAAAAATTACATTTATAACTAAAAATAAAAATATGCGTTTTTACCAAAAAAAATAAAACATTTTTCTGCATTTTTCATTCATCCAATAGCCTTTTTTTGAGAAAAAAACCTTTGGGCCACCCTAAATAAGTATGCTTTTATAAATCAATTTTTAAAAAGAATTATTTTATTAGTGACAAACTTTATTTTACTTTGTCAAACTCCACAGTAGTCCGTAATTATAAATTTTTCTAAGGAATGTTTTTCATCAGGTGGAGATTAGAAAGAGAGTAAAACTTTTGTTTACATGTTTTTATATCTTTCACAAATACCATAAACTTAGAGTTTAAATTTTCATGGTAATTAAAAATCTCAAGAATCTTCAAAATTAAATTTGCTATTTAGGAAAAAAAGTTGAGTAAAAAATAGAAAAGGAGAATTTTGGGGTTGAATAAAATATGCTAATAATAAGTGAAGCAATATCTCACTTGCGGCTTTTTTTATTAAATCTCAAGTGACCAATAAATCTTTAACTATAACTTTTTTGTATTGAAAAAATTTATTTAATGAAATTTTTCTGAATTTAAATGAACTTTTACTTAAATGACTTTTACTGACTGCTTTTATTAAATGATTCTAATGAATGGATGAAATATGTTAGTTACTCTCTTGTTAAATGTTTTTATTTATTAATTAAGTGACCTCGCATCCTTATAAATAGATCTATAAAATCTCTATAAATTTTGAGATTATCTCAAGAATAAAAAAGTTTATTTTATTGATTTGTTAATTGTTGTTATTGATTGCTTTTTGATTTTTTAATAAAGTGTTGTTTTAATTATACAAATATTTGCGTATTTCATTCTCCCCAAATGTCAGTGTAGAATGGAATAAAAATTTTTTTTTATCAAATAAAGTTTCATAAAAAATTATTGGATTTTTATATATTTAAATACAGCTCAATATTCTTTACAACTTTAAGTATAAAAAAAAGTTAAAAACTTTTTTTCTGTAAGAAATAAATAATTAAAATCCTTAACTATTCCATTTGACCCCATTTTACTCTACTTGTTTTTTAATGATTTTTGTTTTGTTTTGAGGGAATAAAAATAACCAAGCATCAAATCTCTATTAATTAGTTAGCTGTAAAACAGTTTTTCATTTTTTGAAAAGCAAACAAATTTTTTTTTCAGATTTTCAGGATGGTTGTTTCTTTTTTTTTTTATATTATTATTTTTTTTTTTTGTATAACATTTTTAATTTTAAAGAAACTAAAAAAAAAAGCTTCCATTATAGTTAACTTTTCTTAAGATTCTATTTATTATCTCTATTTTAGAGAAACACTGAAGATGATGACAGCAGTGATAGTGATTATGGAAATTGGGGTGAAGGTGATGATTGGGATTTCAATGATGAAAAATCTAAACATAAAGTATGTTATTATGATAGAGTATTTTATTTTATTATGATATAAAATTTCTGAGTAAAATTATGAAATATTTATGAAAAATATTATTGCTCTGAAAAAATTTAATCCATTATCATTGAAAGTAGTAATGTTAATGATAGTGTTAATTCAATTATATTTAGTCAACTAACTTTTTAGTCTAAAATAAGTTGACTATTTTAACTAAAATAATTTTAGTTAAAAAAAAAGATAATGTCAACAAACTTTTTAGCTCTTGCTAATTAAAAATATTAATTGAATAAGTTTTTAGTTTATATAACATTATTGAAGTTTAGTGGTACAAATATTTATGAGTATTAACATACATGCTTAATGTAATTGTTTATAGATTGTTGTGAAAACATATTTATTGCTTTCAAAGGCTAAATATAACAACATACAAAATATTAACATAAACAAAATTAGATTTTATGCTTTGTTTTGTCAGTTAACAATTTTGGACCTTGTTTTTAGACTACAAATTTTAGGATCTGATGATTTCTTTTTTTTAATCAACAAATATTTTTATGAACCCCCTTCCCCCTCCCCCTATCATTATTACTTTTATTAATTTGAATAAAACAGTATATTTATCTTTCATTATATACGCCAACACATTATATACGCCAACAAAAAAAGACCTACTTTCAAATTTTGCATATTATCGTCTTATAGTCATAATAAGGTTTAAAGCAACTTTGCTTAAAGAATGTTGGTTAATGGTGAGTTAACGCCGTATAATATATGTATAGTAAAGCTGTGTGATAAACTCACTAATTTATATTATACAGCTGTTAAAATGATTTCTGTATTAAGATAAATTAGTTATTAACATCGATAATGAATATTTTTTTCATTTTATACATTTTTTGTATTTTATATAATTTTTGTAGGCATTATTCATAAGCAAAGGTGAGCCAGCTGAAATAAAAAAAAAGATACTTACAAGTAATATAGATGAACAGTCTATTAGCAACAGCATAAATATGTCAAATGACACATTAAAGGTAATTTTCATTTATATTAGCTTCCATTAACACTGAGTGGCTTTCATTAATGATGATTGTTTTTATTATTAAAATTCTATTACAATGGCTTTATTCCCAAATGTCTAAGACCAAATCTGATCCAGAATTTATTTGGTATTTTAAGTTAAGTATCTTTCAGATAAGTTCTTAACTTTAAACTTTTGCATGGTCATACTTATGTCATATAAAGATATTATGTTATTTAATCAGCATTTTTTGGACCATATAATATTGAAGGGTGTACTTAAACAACTTTTGTTTCATTTTAAATAGCAAAAAAAAAAGCAAAAACATTGAAAACTTTCAAAACTTTGAATATTTGACTAAGATTTTAATTTTAAAATAAAATCTCTCATTTTGCATTTTTCTAGTAAAACATTTTATTTTTTACATTTTGAGATAAATGGTCACGACTAAAATACTCCAAAACAACCATATTCTCCTTCATGTTTAACAGCAAGCAACTGATATTTTGGATTGAGTCTCATATTGGACATCTGAATACCTAATATTGTGACCACTGAATAGCATAAACTTTGATTCATCATAGGAAAGGACTTTTGACCAGTTGTTAACTGCCCAACAAAGATGATTTTTTGCAAATTTTTTTTCTGGCTATTAAATTTCTTTCAGCGATATCAGCGGTTTTTTTAACGCCAAGATTAACGTACAGATTATTTTGTTGTAATCGACGTTTAGTTGATGTTACAGGTTGTATCAGGAAACTGATGCATAATTGATTTAGGTTCAACAACAGTCTTGTAAGAATTATTCTTGGAATACCCTACTAATTATTATTCTTGGAATACCCTACTTATTTAATATATTATTTATTAAATATTTTATTACTTAATTATTCTTGGAATACCCTACTACTATCTATCAGCCTATTCAGTTGTAATTTTAGGCTTTCATGATGTAACTTTGTGAAGTTTTATAAGTTTCACAAATGTTTTGGCCTTCAATTTTGCTTTTGTTTACAAAATTTGATTTAGTTGCGAGAGATAATACTGTTTTTGAACTTTTGGATTGACGCCTTTTTTTTAAAAAAATGATATTTTAATTAACCGTTAAACTTAAAATTTTTTTGTATTATGAGTTGAAATAATACTCTTGTCCGGTAGTATTGAAGTTTAAACTTCGGTATGTCCGGTAGTATTGAAGTTTAAACATTGGTATGTCCGGGAGTATTTAAGTTTAAATTTCTGATATTTAACAATGTGTTGTGATAAGCATTTATTTTCAAATTGAATTTCTTTTATTGATATACATATAATTTTTCGAACGTTGCCCCAAACTCCTCAACTATTGTTTGTTAAGCCTAAATCTTACTTCTTATTTCTAAATCTTGCTTCTTATTTCTAAATCCTGCTTCTTATTACTAAATCTTACTTCTTATTTCTAAATCTTGCTTCTTATTTCTAAATCCTGCTTCTTATTTCTAAATCTTGCTTCTTATTTCTAAATCCTGCTTCTTATTTCTAAATCCTGCTTCTTATTTCTAAATCCTGCTTCTTATTTCTAAATCCTGCTTCTTATTTCTAAATCCTGCTTCTTATTTCTAAATCTTGCTTCTTATTTCTAAATCTTGCTTCTTATTTCTAAATCCTACTTCTTATTTCTAAATCTTGCTTCTTATTTCTAAATCCTGCTTCTTATTTCTAAATCTTGCTTCTTATTTCTAAATCCTGCTTCTTATTTCTAAATCTTGCTTCTTATTTCTAAATCCTGCTTCTTATTTCTAAATCTTGCTTCTTATTTCTAAATCCTGCTTCTTATTTCTAAATCTTGCTTCTTATTTCTAAATCTTGCTTCTTATTTCTAAATCTTGCTTCTTATTTCTAAATCTTACTTCTTATTTCTAAATCTTGCTTCTTATTTCTAAATCCTGCTTCTTATATCTAGGTCTTGCTTCTTATATCTTATCAATTTTCAGTCTAAAAATTAGAACCAACTGTTGACGTAATTCATTTAATAAGTGGAAAAAAGATATCGATTATAAAAATGTTGAGACATTTGTGCGTTGCGAAGGTGGCGAAAAATCGTTCAGACCCTTATATTAATATTTTAATGATAATAGTTTTCTTTATTATTAGTAAATTAAATTTCACAAATTTTTAATTTCAGCTATTTACTGAATTTAGAAACCTGTGTCTAATAAGCTGTCCCCCGTACAAAATAACAGTCCTATTGAAAAAGAATTTGGTGACAGCTGGGAAGACACTTGGGGAGATCTTGAAGATAATTTCAACGCCAAGGCAAATGTTTGTACGAAAAAAGATTCATCAGAAAAAGACTTGCGTAAAGAATTAGCTGAACGAAGAAAGCAAGAAAGAAATTTACAGCGAGAACAAGTCAATCAAGAAAAACGGGGAAAATCTGCTGGTGCTCTTAAATTAGGTGCAGTAAAAAAGGTTACAGATACAAGTGATTTAAATTGGGTACAGTAAAAAGACAACAAAAACACGATTTTTATTTTTGTTATAACTTATTTACAATTCAACTTTTAAAATAAAGAAAATATTTTTGCTTGATACTCTTTTATCTGTTAAATCACAAAAAAGATATCTTTGAAATTGCTATAGGATCCCTATAGGTATCATACTGGTCCTATAAGAATCTTATAGATCCTATAGGATAATATAGGAATCTTTCAGCAACCTTATTGGTCCTATAGGAATCTTATAGGATTTATAGGATTTCTATGGGATCCTATAAGACTTTTTGACAAGGAATTCCTGGCCATTCTAAGTTAGTTTATGAAGTAATATTAACTAATGCAATATAATGTTTAAGGAGAAAACTATGTAGTTTTTAAGACCATATAAAACGCTATTTTTTGTTAGATTAAGTTAGCCACCATTTATATTAAAATATACTAAATTATGATATAATAACTATAAAATTAGAACTTGCATTAGTTTTTCATTTAAATAAATTCAATTATGTTCTTTGTAAGTTTTGGTCGATGAAGCTCAAGATCATAGCTTGTTTGAGCGTAAGTTATTAGACTCAAGGTAAGATGTTAGAAATTTGTTGATTAACGACCTTGCTAATAATAGAGAGTAAAAACAAGATATAGTCAAGCACTTATATCCATATATTACGGGTGCACGGAGGAGAAGGGGGCAGTGTCCCAAATTCAGAGATTTGCATAAGAGTGCGAATGTAGGATGGGAGGGTCTAAAAAACGTATGTATGCAAACGCAAAAAATTGAAGTGACAGTTCACGTTCGTTTGCCCATAAAGGGTAATAATAAAAGGTGAACGCCGCTCCCGTTCACGGCCTGTTAAGGTTATAAAGGTTGTTTTCATTAAATTAACTTGAAACATATTAACCACACAAGAATCATTTTTCTTTCGATTCTTTATTTGCGCCTTCTCAGTATATCACGATTGTCTTGTAAAAATTATTTTCCAAAAATCTTTAAATCAAAACTTCTGAGAAAAATTATGAGATTTAGTAAACTAGGAATAATGGAGCTTAAAATCAGACCTTTTAACATTGATTTTTTGCAATAATAAATAGGCTTTTGTTCTCAAAAGACTTGTTCTTTTGAAAAAGATGAGGAAAAAAAAATGATTAAGATAAGATATAGCAGCTCCCCAACAAAGTAAAAACAAGGTAAATGACTTGGCTTGAATAAACTCCTGGATCCTTGCCAGGATCCAGGAGTTTACGTATCAGCGAAGAGAGAATAAACATCAGCCCAAAGCCATGAAGAAAATCGCAAAAAGAATCCTAGTCGGCCTTAGGGTAGTAGGAAGTAGTGCGATGATAGGTGAGTACGAAGGAGAAGTGTGAGATGAAAGATTTATAGAGATTATTGTATTTGTATTAACAATTTAAAGGTATTATGTATGTATGCTCTTGATTTTAAAGGTATATTTATACTGTTGATGTTATTATTTTTGGCTCTAATGTGAAGAATTAAATCTATTGCTTAAAATTTGTGAAGATTATCGTAGAAATTAGCAAACTCGAATGAATTCCAAAAAATTATGGTACAAAAGCAAAGAGAAGAAGAAAAGAAAAGACAACGTTTTGTAATAATGAAGTTAATTTTGCAATCTTAATTGAATATCTTGCAATCGCTCGAAATGATCTTAGAAGTACAAACCGTTGTGAACAAAGACAAACGAAATTTTTTGGCAGTATCCCAAGGTTAAAAATTCATATTGTTAAGTGTTTCTGGTTTGAAAGAATAATAATTAACAGAGAAACGAGTAAAATAATATTTTTCGATTTATAACAAGATGCATAACTTATATGTCGATGGTACATATACTAATCTAATAATCGAATTAATAGTTACTAAAAAAAGCTAATATAACAAACTAAAAAAAGCTAACAATACAAATGCTCAATGCAACTTAATTAAACTCTATTACGGCCTATATAAATTAATTGTGAGTAAAATTAATTTTTTTCATTCTGAAAGGGTTAATTGTCCTTAAGAAAAACTTAATCATTCAAATATTTAAGTTTAGAATTGCTGAAACGATTAACTTTTTGCTTTTACAAAAATATATTGGAATCTGTAAATATGAAAACATTTTTAAATTAATAAAACGTAATCATTAACAATTTACTTATTTCCGTAATTTTGATATTGTCTACTGTAAAATAATGATCACTAAAATACATTTCATTATTTTACCTACTGTAAAATAATGAAATGTATTTTATTTAGATTCGGTTCTCCTAAGTTGACTATTTAGTAAATGCATTATGCAAATTCTCCTTTATGTCAATTTAATTGAAGTAAACATTTTTCTCGTGTTACAACATTTGAAAAAACTATTACTAAATCTTTTCGAGTACGAAGCACTGTTTCTGCACTTTTATATACAATACAATAACATAATCAACAAACTCGGTCTTAAAAATTATGCTTGCATTAAGACTTTTTTTTATCAGACAGTAAGTTATTAGACAAAAGAAAATTCACCTCCTCCCTCAATGAAAAAATTTAATGAACTGCGTTAAAGCTTTTTATTTCGATATGAAGTATGATTAAAAGGTGAGAGAGGAGATTGTAAAATTAATATAATATTTTCAAAAAATTATACACTGAAAAAATTGGTAATTAGCTTTATTACTAGTAAAAAAAAACACACTTATGCAAGTGATACTATTTTTTTTAACATTAATACAAAATATTATAATATAAAAGTATGAATAAAATAAACTTAATTACAAAAAATTCTTCAAAATAATTTTTTTAGAACTTGTGCTTTAAGAAATTAAAGTAAATATTAAAAAAAAAAATTCGAATTCAAATTAAATTTTAAAAATATTAAAAATATAAAAATAGAAATGGGATGTGCCACAAAAATGAATTTGTAAGTAATTCAGAACATTAAGCATCTTTGCAGTTTATTATCATTGACGAAATTCCAAGCCATCCTTAAAATCAAAAAAATTATTTTATCATAGTTTTAACCGTAGTTACTTCGTATTATAACAAACACGTTGAATAGAAACATTTACAATAAATTAGAATGATTACTTACATACATTTACATATCCGATCCTTAACAAATATATACAAATATATCAATATTAACAAATATATACAAATATATCAAGCCGGATATATATTAATGTTACCACAATAGCTAATACAACCATGGCATTTCATAATTGTGTGTACTAACTACAAGTAATTTAAGTCTCATATTTATAATTCTAATCAATTAGCACCTAACTTGTTTTAATAGTGGAGAATTAAAATAAACAAATAGTAAAAGATTAATTTAGATTGTTAAATAATACTTTATTAGCTTACGTAAATATTAAACATTAGATAATTGATATCGATTCTCGGTTTATCGTCTGGTTTTGGTGCGATACCTTACAGTATCAATATCAAGATCAGTGGACACTAGATAATTGGTATCGAGTAACAATTTATTGTTTGGTATCGGTGCAATACCTTACAGTATCAATATCACGCGATACTGGTATCAAAAGTATGGGTTATGTTGATATTATTTTTTGTCGATAGTACCATTTGGTATCGCAGATTACGATTAGATTAGTATATTTATATAACTGAGATGTATATAATTCACTTATTTAGTATAGTAAAAATTCTCAAAGATTGTGTGGTATCGTATGACATCATATTTGTCATTTAACTTCTCATCTAGTATAGTTATTTTAACTTAATTAACTGTGTGTTATCGTTTCCGTATTTTAATTTCTTATCTAGCATAGTTACTTTAATTAAATCTCGCTTGGTATAACAATTCTCCTGTAATTCGCCTGGTCTATACCAGGTAAAAAAAAATTCAAAGTCACATTTTAATTCTTTTTTTATCGAGACTATGCGACCATTCGATACCATAAGATTCTTTTTATTATCGTTATTGTGTGGTATAGAACCGATACTGATGGTATCAACATTAGTATGTTTACAGTACTACACGATACGAGACCATCCTACTCGGTATCGACTTACACGATAATAGGTTATCTAGTGTCTAGTAAAAATACATTTAACGTATTTTTACGTAACTTAATAAAGTATTGTTTTACGGTTATAATTTTTGATTGCTGATTTAATAAAGTATTATTTTATGCTTATAATTTCTGGTTGCTGATTTAATAAAATATTATTTTACGTATATAGTATTTGGTTACTGGTTTCGTTCTTCCATAATGATAGGTTGACCAGAATACTAATATTTTTTTTTTTTTGTAGGACAGCACAGCGCCAAAACTTATTAAACTTAATTTGTTGCTGTGCTCTCCTATGTAAAGAAAAGTATTCTAGTCACCTTAAAAATATAGTTATACTAGGTTATTTCATAACTGAATTCAGTTATACGAGGTTTTGCATATTTTAGTTAGTTGTATATACTATTATATCACATCTCAGCAAAAGCTTTAAAAATATACAAATTAAGTCCCAGGTAAACTGAATTTAGTAAAAAAAGAATTTTTCTTAGATCTTAACCTTAACACATGAATCTTACAACACTTCCACCACTCTAAGATATAGTTGAAGACATTATTGAGATGTTTGATTCCATTTAACACACATGTTGATTTTAGTACAAACAAGCTCATTAAACTTTAACTTGGAATTACGCCATAAAAACTTTTAGACTTTCTAAATAGCCTACTTTCTTAGTTTTAATAAAATTTCTAAAAGTCACAATGTTAAGTAAACCTGCTCTGGATTTCTCACGCACACCCAGCAAAGCCACATTACTAACTAAGAGACACACTCAAGAAAAGTTGATCTACAACTTAAAGCTTATAAGAAACCTCAAAAATATTTTTTTGACTGAACCCTCATTTGACCCACAATCTTTTCTAAATAACTCGAGGACATTCTCGTAGAGTCTTTAATGCTGATAACTATAACAACATATGTCTACTAGAACTAATTTCTTCTCTAACAGATTAGTAAGCCTATGAAATTAACTCCTGTAAACAGCAATTAAGTTTCATCACCGGAATAAACTCAAAAATTGCATTGACAAACATGTTAACCGCTACCATCTTAACTAATTACCAAAATGTTGATACAAGTTGATGTTGATACAGACATTAGATGTTGATACATCATCTACTAAAGAGTTAAATCTCATTCAAGAAACAATTTTTTTTGTAAATCTTTTGGTTTAGTTTTTTATTTTAATTTTTTTAGCTTATCATCATTATTATTATTTAATGTATAACTATTTATAGTTAACATTCTTACAAAGCAAATTTAAGTTTCTACTGTATATCGTTTTGCCAAGGTTATTTTGCACAACCAATACTTATACTCAGTAATTGGTTAGCTTTACATGAATAAAAGCCTATTAGCATTATATTTTGAGATGACGAATAAATGACCCCTGTCGTTTTATTTGATACTAAAAATATTCCATTTTACTATGAAATAAAATGAATACATAAGAACTTTAAGTTATTTAAAGTAAAAAAAATTGTCCAAAAAAAAGATCCAGAGGGCTCGAAAAAACATTGAGAAAATTTGGTGAAAACTAAATAAAAAGGAAAGTTTATTTGACAACATAAAGTATGCTTCTTATTTTTAAAAACCTTCAAAAGTTAAATGCAAAAAAAGAAAAACCCAACCAAAGTCAAGTTAGCCATGCTTCATTTGAAGAATATCCTAAATTGGTACATTATTTGCATCCAAGTAAAAATAAAAACTTCGTTAGTGTAATGTAAACTTGCTAAGAGTAGGCTTTAGCTCAAATCATTTGACATGTCAAATGATTTGAGCTAAAGCCTACTCTTATCCAAAACTAAAATAGAGACTTTATATCAAACTTTTTCTTCTTTTAGGTAAGTTGCTTTTACTACAGCTTTTTAGCTGTGACCACACCTACCCTGCCTGATAGTTTAACATTATAACCAGAACTGCTAATTCTCAAGCTTTTCTTTTTTCACATATTCTATATCAATTAAAATTGCATACATGTTACTTGAATAGAATCCATTATTTCAATTTAAAGTCACATTTGCAAACATAAAATATGACTTGTTGTCCAAAATCCAATCAACATATTTACAGAAGTATCAACACAAAGGTTTTGCTTAAACTATTTGATAATTAGTTCAAGATTGAATTTTAATTTTTATATAAAATTATTTAAAAATGAAAATCATTTTATTGCATTTTAACCAATTTCTTTCTTTGGTTTGGGATCAAAACTATTCGCAAAGCATCACAAAACATTACTTATGTTTTATCTAAGTACTTGTTTTAATAAAAATTCATACATACATACACACATAAAAAGTCATACATACATTCATACATACATACATACATACATACATACATACATACATACATACATACATACATACATACATACATACATACATACATACATGCATACAAATAAAATACCTTTATATTCATTGCAGTCTTGTTTTTTTGCCTCCATTGATCTTAAAATAAATTGAGAAGATTCTAAAAGATTTCTTTCAATTACATGTGCTTTCACAAATGCTCTATATGCCCTGGAAAGTGGGATAAAAGCAGCAGGATTTCCATTGCAATGTATTATATTATTAAGAGCAGTTCTTATCGAATCAAACATATCAAAACTGTTTTGAAAAGTAGCAATTGACTGTTTAAATTTGTCTATATTGTTTTGAACTTGGTCACATTGATCTAAACAAAAAAAGAAGAAACGTGCAATCAAATTGCTAGCCTTTTCATTATTAAATACTTTAAATTTAGAAAATGAACAGTTTAGAAATCTAACAGTTAATTAAAGGTTGGCCACAGCTTTTCTAAAATCCTCTAAAGTCCTCGGTTTTTCAAAAAAGAGGACTTTAGAGGATTTTAGAAAAGCTGTGGCCAACCTGTCAATGCAAGCAAATAATGTTTCTAATATTGGAAACAGCTAGAGAGTCAATGTTTTATATACTAAAATTGAGAACATAATAATATTCAAAATACCTATAGGTAGAATTTTGTTGGCTTCTAAAATATAAATCCATTCATTAAGAAAATCAATTAAAGCAGGTACTTGACTTCCACCATAACCAACAACTTTGTATATCAGGTCATCGTTGATTAAAGAAACATTCGAAAAAGAATAAACTGTTCCACAACTGCCAGTTTTGTTTACAGAAGTGTCTAAAAAATATATTTTTGTTCAACAATATTTAAAATGCAACACACAGATTTCAATCATAATACAAAATATTATAATACAAATACGTCATATATTGCTCATGCATAAAATAAGTGCATGCATACTATACATCTATCTGATTTTCTTTTTCTCAGTGTCTTTTTATTTTTCTTTAAAATAATGCACCCAATCTTGGTAAGTTTCACTAGTAGTTGTTAAAATTTTTTGCAAACAACTACGTAGGTGGTTTTTTTTTAGTTGAAAAAAGTCATGATATTTTATTATGGCAAAATTTTATGAAAAATCAGAAATTATTATTAGGTATGTTAAGATTTTTTGTAAATATCTAGGTAGGTGGTTTTCTTTTTTAGTTGAAAAAGTAATGATATTTTATTATGGCAACATTTTATGAAAAACCAGAAATTATTATTAGGTATGTTAAGATTTTTTGTAAATATAATTATTATGACAAATTATTTATTTTATTATTATAATAATTATTTAATTATTAATTTATTTTTAATATTAATTTTTATTTTATATTAATTATAAATTAATTATATATATATAAAATATATATTTTACAATAGTTAACTTCTATTATATTATTTTTTTATTATATTATTTTTTTATTATATTAGTTAACTATTTATAGTTAACTAATATATAATAACTATTGTAAAATATATATTTTATATATATATAATTAATATATAATAGTTATATTAGTTAACTATTTATAATAATTATTTATAAATTAATTATTTTGGCAAAACTTGAAAAAAAAAATCAGAAAATACCAGTATTTAATGTTTAAATTTATTTAGACTTTAAATGACAAAGTAGTATTTAAAATATGCTTTGGAGCAATGGGGTCTGGAAAGCTTAAAAATATGTTTTGGAGCAATTGGGTGGTCTGGAAGCTTTAAAATATGTTTTATTTATTTATTAATTAGTAGTAACATACCCCTCTAGATTATTTGGAGTTGCACATGACTTTTACAATTTCAAAATTCAAAATTATGAAAGATAATAAAAAAAAATAACAAGAGATTTCAAAAGATTAGTAAGTATTACTTTTATACATTTTTTTATTATAGGGAAAAGAATTTTCGAAAAAAACTGTTTAATTATTTTACTTGGAAAATTAAAAAATATTTTTTTGAATTTTGTTTTTATTGGAAGATATCTATGAAAAAATATTTAAACAATTAAACAAGAAAATTTTTGAAAAGAGATTTTCACTCGAAAATGATGAATGTTATTTCAAATATTCAATAATGCTATCAATAAATTCATTTATTTGTAAATATAAATATCAAAAAAATGTATCTATGATATGCTTTTTTTGCATAAACTTTTAAAGATAAACTCTAATAAAACCTGAAATTTTTTAGACTGGGCTAGTAACTGCTGCTATATATATATATATATATATATATATATATATATATATATATATATATATATATATATATATACATATATATATATTTATATATATATATATATATATATATATATATATATATATATATATATATATATATATATATATACATATACATATATATATATACATATATATATATATATATATATATATATATATATATATATATATATATATATATATATATATATATATATATATATATATATATATATATATATACCCATATAGTGTAGTCGAAAGAGCGTTTTAATGTAAAAAAAGTCTCTTACAACTACAATTTTAATTACCTCGTCTCTTAAGCTGTTTTTGATTGTCATCGAAATGTCAAAGCAATTAATTTATGCGGAAGTACATTAAATTTTATTGTTTTTTAAAAAATTTTTAAAAAACCGCAATTATAACGACTAGAAAGTTTTTTTTAATTAGTGGTGTTTTTGTTATTAATTTAATAAAAAACATTTTTAAAACATGCGTAAATGTTGCTACATCGACTATCTTATAGCCTGACTCGCAACGGAGTGCTGCTACATCGACTGACAAATAGCCTGACTCGCAACGGAGTGCTGCTACATCGACTGACAAATAGCCTGACTCGCAATGGAGTGCTGCTACATCGACTGAGAAATAGCCTGACTCGCAAGAGAGTGCTGCTACATCGACTGAGGGTTTGGTTTGGCCAGGCAGTCTATCAATTAAAAAAAAAAATTTAATTTTTAAAACTTTTTCTGGTCTGGTTTATTAACGCGCTCTTTAAAACTACAGTTTATGGGAAACTTTTTTTGATGCCATGCAAGAGACATGCAAGAGTATATATATATATATATATATATATATATATATATATATATATATATATATATATATATATATATATATATATATATATATATATATTAAGATAAGACCTCTTAATATATATATATATATATATATATATATATATATATATATATATATATATATATATATATATATATATATATATATATATATATATATATATATATATATATATATATATATATTAAGATAAGACCTCTTAATAGTTCTCTGAAAAGAGAACTATTAAGAGGTCTATTAAGATACTGAAAAGAGAACTGCTAAAGTTCATTTGGTAAACTTTACCAAGTTTACCAAAAGAACTGCTTTTGTTCAATGCTGTGGTGATTATTTTTCTGACAAGTAACTAGTTTGAACGAGTTTTGCTGCTGGATTATTGTTGGTTGTTTATTGATCCAAGCTGGATCCCTCAGATAGTTTATATAAAACGATTTTATTTATATAATATATATATATATATATATATATGTATATATATATATATATATATATATATATATATATATATATATATATATATATATATATATATATATATATATATATATATATATATATATATATATATATATATTTATATATTATACGAGTTTTGCTGCTGGATTATTGTTGGTTGTTTATTGATCCAAGCTGGATCCCTCAGATAGTTTATATAAAACGATTTTATTTATATAATATATATATATATATGTATATATATATATATATATATATATATATATATATATATATATATATATATATATATATGTATATATATATATATATATATATATATATATATATATATATACATATATATATATTATATAAATAAAATCGTTTTATATAAACTATCTGAGGGATCCAGCTTGGATCAATAAACAACCAACAATAATCCAGCAGCAAAACTCGTTCAAACTAGTTACTTGTCAGAAAAATAATCACCACAGCATTGAACAAAAGCAGTTCTTTTGGTAAACTTGGTAAAGTTTACTAAATGAACTTTAGCAGTTCTCTTTTCAGTATCTTAATAGACCAATATTTTTATTTTATATTTCAAAATTTCTTTTGAAATGGACTTGAGTTAGTTATTTGAATTGTGGTGCTATTTTTTGGCTGAATGCTGAATTGCTTCATTGTGTTCATCTTAAGTGAAAGCGGATTTTTGTTAAGATTATCTGAGCCACACACTTTTTAAATGAATTCAAAGTCATCTGGATTCATTGAAAAAAAGTATTGACAGCAAATTTTTGCAATCTTATAAAGTACAGACTTTAAAGTTGCATCTTGTCGGCAAAGGACTTCTGCTGCCAATTTGACTAGTTCAAGAGCAGCAATAAAGTTGTATAAAGTGAAAAACACTGAAAAACAAATGTAGAGGTCTCTCATACAGAACTTGAACTGCCAAATACATTTCATAGACATAATAGGTTTGATACTTAGTTGAAACTAGTTTTTCAAATTTAAATATCATAAAAGCTCCATTCATAACTGAACAGACAATGTGGGTTGAACATTGCTGTCACAAATGTTCAACCCACATTCTGATACTTTTTCTGTGGTTTTGTAGCTTTTTTTAGCCAACAGAGATCCAAAAATTTGAGTTAAGCTTAGATTCCAGTATGTGAGTTTTTGATTAATATTAATATTCATGTACCTTTGAAAATGAGGTCAAACTATTGCTGACCTCATTTTCTTGAAAAATGAGATCCGCAATAGTTTGCCAACCTCAATCTTTTTGAGGTCGGCATCAGGTCAGCAAAAAAAAATTTGATACAAAGGTCTAATATAAAAAAAAGAATAAAACATAGAAACCAGGTCTGCAATTTTTTGCTAGCCTTTTAGGTCAGCAGTTGGGTTGGCATTGCCAAATGCCGCCCCTAATTTCCAGGGCTGTGTACATATATATATATATATATATATATATATATATATATATATATATATATATATATATATATATATATATATATATATATATATATATATATATATATATATATATATATATATATATATATATATATATATATATACTCTTGCATGTCTCTTGCGTGGCATCAAAAAATGTTTCCCATAAACTGTAGTTTTAAAGAGCGCGTTAATAAACCAGACCAAAAAAGGTTTTAAAAATTAATTTTTTTTTTTTAATTGATAGACTGCCTGGCCAAACCAAACCCTCAGTCGATGTAGCAGCACTCTCTTGCGAGTCAGGCTATTTGTCAGTCGTTGTAGCAGCACTCCCTTGCGAGTCAGGCTATTTGTCAGTCGATGTAGCAGCATTCCCTTGCGAGTAAGGCTATTTGTCAGTCGATGTAGCAGCACTCCGTTGCGAGTCAGGCTATTTGTCAGTCGATGTAGCAGCACTCCGTTGCGAGTCAGGCTATTTGTCAGTCGATGTAGCAGCACTCCGTTGCGAGTCAGGCTATAAGATAGTCGATGTAGCAACATTTACGCATGTTTTAAAAATGTTTTTTATTAAATCAATAACAAAAACACCACTAATTAAAAAAAACTTTCTAGTCGTTATAATTGCGGTTTTTTAAAAAATTTTTTAAAAACAATAAAATTTAATGTACTTCCGCATAAATTAATTGCTTTGACATTTCGATGACAATCAAAAACAGCTTAAGAGACGAGGTAATTAAAATTGTAGTCGTAAGAGACTTTTTTTACATTAAAATGCTCTTAAAGCTACACTATATGGGTATATATATATATATA